TGTGATGGTACATTGGTGAGACTTAAGAAGTTATTGCGGACGCTTCGTAGACTCGCTAGTATTTGTGCAAACGGTGTAACGATGAGATCTTCACCATGGAAGTCTCTCTTGGACCGCTGTTCCCAAAACTTGTCCCAGAACGACGACCGGTGCTTGATGCGCAACACGCTCGTGCTGAGCGTCCGCGGCAGCTTGCCGGGCTGCGCGCCGGGCGAACCGCCGCCGCCGACCACGGCGGACGCGGACGCGGGCCCGCTGGCGGCGTCGCACATGGCGGACACGGACGCGGAGCCGCTGATGCCCAGCGCGCCGAACTTGAAGACGGTGCCGCCGGCGGATGACGACCCTCGCCGCCTAGGGCCGTCCGCGGACGCCGGTGGCGACGAGATGGTCGGCGATTCCATGGCCGTCGCTGACGACGACGCCGCGCCGGCGGCCACGGTTAGCGACCGGCGGCGGTGGTGCGTGACGGGTCGGTGGGCCGTGTCCCTACAAGGCCGCGTCGGGGACGACGGCGACGACGGGGGACGACGACGGTGACGACATGGCCTGCCGGAGGCGCGGCCACCATGACTTTGCGTACCGCCGTCGACGCGAGGAGCTCGCGCTCGTGCTGATGCTCTATCCGCGCGGCGGCTCGTTACGCGAGCTGCAAACGGTATATATTATTATACGTATTATTGTACGCGTGCGATGCGTGTGGTGGACGGCGGTGGAGGTGGCGGTGGCGGAACGATGCACGGAGTGACGCGCGACGACGGACGTGACGGCCGAAAACCGCCGGTGTGCATTTGCCGTGGTACGCCGTCGCCGCGCGGCCCGACGTAGCGAAGACCCCGGAATGAGCGCGCGCGCGTTTCCGCGGTGTTGCCTCCGTCGACGATAATACCGTGCGCTCGACTTTTTCCGCCGCCGTAATGCAACGATCCCAGCACTATAATAATAATATTATTATACGCATTGGTGTTTTGTTGAGGGTACTCCGCGCGTTTCTAATAATACGCGCTAACTATTATTTATTATTATTATAATTATTAGTATTATCATTTCTGTCATAGGAAAACTGATAGTTTTTTTTTTTTTTTTTATATATACGACTCAAATACGTCACCGGGTCCCCGGATATCAATGCATTAATTGCAGATGCCTCGGACAATGTATTCTTGTAGTTACATAATTCGTTTCAGGTAACAGTTGCTTCAAGGATAAGACTTTTGTTCTGAATTTTTTAGTACCTACAAATATTATTACTTCGAACGAGCTTTAAATGCGAGTAGGTATGAATTAGAAAATTGTAGTTTTCATAATATTCGTTTTAGCAGTTTTTACAGTAGATATTAAATATTATTTTTCATCTATACCGATTTTCAATTGTTCCATATTATATGAACACAATAACTTTGTTTATCTTTAGCGATTTTTGGATAAAGTGTCTTACTGGGACTCAAACAAATAGGTACTTATCTCTAATAAAGATATATCATAACTGAATTAAGGTGAGCGGAGTAGTAGACCAACATTTTGTAAGGTATTCCCATACCATTTAATCCCGATAAACGAAATATTAAATATACATAATTTAAAAACGAATGATTCGAATTTCGATTTTTATATATTGAGATATTTTGAAAAACATTTCGGAATATGAAATTAAAAAATGTGTTATCATTCAAAAAAAATCAACGATAAATTAATATTATTTTATTTTGACTAAAAATGTTGTAAAATATATCTTCAAAACGGTAATATATTTCAAAATGATGAGTATTATTTGATAAACAAATCATTCAGTATACTTTTTACGTATTTATTGTGCGCACCTAAATTTGGTATTTTGTTTTAATACAATTGTCAGTTTATAAAGTAGTGTTAAAAAAGTGGTTTTTAATTAGGTATTGCTTGTGTAGCTGTGTGCCAATAAAAACAGATTTGAGCATTGTGGCATTGAAACATTATTTTTGGTTATTTTTTAGAATATTTTTTAAACGTTTTCTAAACATTTAAATCTAAATTCCAGTAAAATGTATAATATTTATGAATCTGATAGATTGCTTTGTAATGGTGTCCCCAAATTATTAGACTTAGGTATATATTTTAGTAATTGTTTATGACCGATCGTCTACATAACTAAATCAGATTTTCTAATGTTACTTCCACATGCCACGTACTATGTATACACAGATAGGCAATAATAGTATATTATTAAAAATATTACTGGTTGTCGAGTTAACCAGTGACAATTATTTATATTTTTTGCCGGTTGTTAATGTATATATTGACCCTATTAATATGATTTTAACATCTATAGTATAATTTTATTATAAATATTGTGTCATTTTTGTATTTGGTACCTATACGTTTTTAAAACTACTTATTTACCAAGAACCATACAACAGTAGAGCCTTGATGATCCGGACGAATTCAGACCGAGCATCGTCTGAATTACCAGGTTTTCAAAATTACCTACTCAAATGACTAAGTTTTTTATTTTTAATTCCACCACCTTTATATTTATTACATTTTAAATTACAAAAATAATAAATAATTTGAACATAATGAATTACAAGAAAAAAAAATGTGTATGATAATAAAAGTTACGTATAGTAGTCAGTATTTTTTTCTGAATAATACTTTTAATTCCGAACAAATTACAAATGTATTTACGAACAAATGGACTTATATGTCGTTCGGATTACTGTATACACCGGATTATCGGGGGTTCGAACTATCGATGCTCTAGTGTATAATATATATATATATATATAATTGACATTAGACAACATGACAGACTATAGTGAAATATTTTACAAAGTCGTAGTTTTATATAACACTGCATAAAAAAATAAAAACACTGTAATACCTACATTTAATTTTTATGATATCATAGCATTAATTTAATAATAACAAATAGAAGCAACAGTTCGGTGTACACTGTGACAAACGTTATATTTTATAATGGTATTTTATGTCATTTAGCATGTTATGTCGGGTGAACATATTATACTATGCTTGCACACACACATAGACGTGTGCAAACATGTATATAAATATATATATATATATATATATATATATATAATGGTTAATTATTATTTTTTTATAATAACTCATAATTTTTATAATTAATTACAATAGCCGTGTAGTTTCAGTATATTTTTTAAAATATTTTTTTTCTTCTTACAATATATTATTTTATTTTAAATACAATTCTAATACATTAACAAATGAAAGTTGAAAACAACTTTAAGTACTGTTTTCAAATTTAAACCGTAGTTTATCCATTAAATTAAATAATTCCCTTCTATGTAAATTTTACTCTTAAGACCCTTTTTTTTTTTATTCATTTAATGAATTAGTCAATATCACATCTGGAGTGCAAAATAAATATAATAAGTTGAACAAACCTTCTAATTTACGCAGTAAAAATAATAAAGGTATTTCACAAATGTAATTTGATTCATTTTTTTTTTTTTTTTTTTTGAAGGTCTGGGCATTAAATTATCATATAGAAATAGTATACTATTTGATTTGGTTAGCATCTATAGAGAAAACGACCTCATATTAATTTATAAAATGTTTTGTCACCATAAAACGAGTTATTTATAAAGCTACTTAATTAATATTTATTTATTTAGCGTATTTATGATTATCATTAAATTCTGTTGTTTTTTAACCAAAACTTGAATAGATTATTTAAAAAACAATAATAAACAGAAACGGATTACTAAGATACCTTTTATACATGTATTCACTTTTTTAAGATGTATAGAACATTAATTTGGATTAATTTTATTAATTAATATATATTCCGTTAAATTTTTATTTCTTTTAGTTCATTACTCCTTAAACATAAATATACTTAAGTGTGGTTTAATATAAATTCTAAACATATTAAATCTAGATTTAAATTAGATTTAAAAACCTAGATCTTAATATTATTTGTATTATTTTTGTATTTAGTGATATCGTGTTTGTTGATTAGGGGAGACAAATTGAAAATTAAATGATGAAATAAGTTTTATTTTTATAATAGTTTATAAATTATCACTTAATATTACAATAATTTATATTTGATATTTCTGCTATAGAACTACTTACACCACATGGAGACATTTTTGACAATGAAATAAATAATAATTTTGATTGAGCAAAACCGCTGATAATTATCATTTTAAGAGGTAAAATATTGTAAAAAATACGTATAAATAGAATGATGTAAAAAATAATCAAAGATATAGAAGTGCTAAGTTAATAAAAAATCACCAATACTGTTGCATTATTCAATGTGATACATTGTTTATTCATTACCTTATATTATTATTTTTAAGTAATTTTTCATATCGCTATGTGACTCATTTAATCCTTCTAACACATATGTGGGCTTCACATAATCACATTATAATTAATTTGAATAATTAATTGTTTTTGTTAATATTATATTATTTACTTTAAATTTAACAACTAAAATAAAATTGTTGTTACTTATTAAGTTTGTTTTAGTAAAAATAGTAAAATTGTAAACAACATAATATGAGATAGAGAATCCAATACACTGTAATACAATAACAAATACTTATAGATTATGGTAGTATAATGGGTGTGATTTATATATATTTTTGTAATGTTAATTCCTTTTATAATATTTATATTTACTCAACTGTTATAAAACAATAAAAAATAATAAATTACTCAAACATTTATTAGATTCTAGTAGACACACATTAATGTATTAATAATTAATTTAAAATTATTTAAATTGGATACTTTATATTTTTGTGTTTAAAGTATCTATTATTTTCTTTATTTTATTTTTTTTTCGAATTTTAATAGACCATTATAAACCATGTATAATTTATAACCATTTATTCATTTCTTTTCTAAAAAATTTGTTTAAACTTTTAATACGGTTTTTCAAATTGTTTGTGACGAAAATTGTGAGGGATATGTTGGTAATACACAAATCTCAGCATTTGCGATACACACAATTTAGAATATTATAAATTATGATTTTTTTAAAAGAATTTCCTCATTATTATTCATTAACATTTTTAATACATGTTTTATTCTAGTAAACTGTATATATCATTTATTAAAAAATCATAAAATTTATGATTTAAGAATAAGCAAAAAAAAAATATGAATAGTAATTATATTATAATCATATTACATACAATATAATGATGATGTGATAAGTTTAAACCGCAAATCTTGCTCAAAGTTTTATATTTAATTATTTAATATATTAAAATAAGAATCTAACACAATATATTTTCAAATATATCATACGTTTTTTTTTTTTTTTTTTTTAATTGATAGTTGAAAAGTTTAATTTTTCATGATGTTTATTTATCCTTTAATAATGATAATCTTGGTATATCCAAATTAAATACTTAAAGGTTAAAACCTCAAAAGACTTATAAAAAGTTTTGAATTCAATATATATAAATTAAAGTATTATTATAAAAAAGAATCAATAATTTTAAAATATTCACTATAGACTATAGAGAAATAATCAAATTTAAAAATCATTTAAATAATACAATTACTATTTAACAATTATATAAATTAAATTTAAAATAAGACTATTTCAATCACTGATTTTTTTTTTTTTAATTTAATTATTTCCATTTCTTGAATACCTATTTTTTTTTTAAACTAAATGTTTTTTAACCAAATTACATATTTTGTACATACATTTTATAAATTATAAGTTTCTAAGTACAATATTTAACTAATATGAATATATTCACGAGGAATTCTAATAGATATATCATAAAAATAATACCAAATAATATCATAGTTTGTATACTAACTTATAAAACATGCATACATCTTTAAAGTATTTATAGATTATAAAAACTTAAAATTTATGATTTTGTAAGACCAAAAATATAATTTTTAATTTTTTCAAGTAAAAACATATTGATATTTATTTTTAAATGTACTTATGTAAAATGTATACGTATTTTAATTTGTCTATAACAACGTTCACTTGTAATTAAATGTTATGAACATATTAAGGTAAAGTACTCCTAGTTACGTTAATGTAGATTTATCATTTTAACTATAACATAATATGCTTTAATGCCATTAAATTCCATTACAAAGATGACTTTATTCCTAACCCTTCTATGTTGAGGTTTAGTACGTATGTAGCAGTGATTATTAATCTTAATTATGAGAAAGGAAAATATGCGTTATTTTAGTCGTATTATTTATACAGGTATAGTCAACAGTATGATAATATTGTACAAGGTCTGTTTTAATTTTTATTAATAAACAGTTATACTTTTATAACAGTGACATAATCTTTATAAAGACGACGTTTTAAACGCAATTTTCCTTTTATTATATGATAAAAAAAATTAAAATTAAAAAATGATTATGATTTTATGTTATCTAATATTTTTGATAGCTTAACATCATTAACTTTGATATAATACTAGGTGTGATTAAATAAAATGTTATTAAGTTAGTCAATTTATCATCATCTTAGCTAAGATATTATTATTAAGTGTATAAATAACAAATAATATTTACTTAAATACAATATTTTTATAATATGATGAATGTTGATTGATTTTTTTTTTTTTTAAATGGCCACTATGAAAAAAAATAAAAATAATAACTATATTTCAATATGTAATTAAATCTAGATTGCATATGTTATGTTTTATTTTTGTACGTCGAGTTATTTGGAATGTAATTTAAACATTTCATATTGTGATTTTAACTACCTATATCTAGTATTTTTATATTGACTTTATTATTTATAATATATTCAAAAAACGAATGTCCTTGTCAATGTGTATAAAAGAAAAATCGAATTAACATATTAATTATCAACGTAGGTTTATTATTAAAATTAAGTTTCTTTGTTCTCCTTTACTATCTGTTATTACTACCTGTATTCGCATTTTCAATAATACCTAAAGCAAACTAACATGTTTATTTATCTATTAAAATACACACAGTGAGTGTATGCTAATAGTCCATTACCATAGTCTATACTTAGTTAAAATTTACCACTTTTTTGTTACTTTCAATTTTTGACATATATTCAAGATAAATTAATGAATTGGATATAGTTTAATGAAACTATAATTTAGAGCAATAAAAAAAAAAAAAAAAAAAAAAAAAATGAACAAAGTAAAGAAAAGCCACATTCAAAATGTAAAATACGACAAAACATTTATCATCCATATAATACACACGAGTGTTTATCATTTTTTTATAAACATTGTTTTATTTGCTTCGATTGTGCATATTATAATACAATATTAATATTATGTTTAAGATGAGCACAAAACAAAAATAATTGGTTAGATAAATGGAAACGTTACATAGCATATAATAATAGGTTTTCGATGATATTGTCAATAACATGTAATATAATAACACAACAAACAATTTACATTTTTATATTTTACAATCCCAATTATCATCATAAACGCATGTCAATTTATTATTTGAGTCAATGTGCGCCTTTTATGGATGAATAATTAATTGAGTACGTCCAATATTATTAGCACAATGCGGGACATAATACTAATAAATAATGTATAATTTATGAGTATCAAATACTGAACTATGATAATATAGTCATGTTGAAGTGAAAGTTAGAATAATATATCTACTTTTGTCCAATATAAATATGATACATACGCTTCTAAGTTTTACATGCTTTATTTAAGTGGGAAAATGATTACAAGAACTATTGATGGTCAATATGCATATTTTTGTATTTTTGTTGCATTTTCAATTTAAAATCAAATGATTCTCTTAAGATCTTATACTAAACATAGAAATAAAGATTTTACTCTATGGAAAAGTGTGTAAAACAAGTATACTATAGAGTATAGTATACGTATAAGACATACTTGTTACTACTACTACTACTACTACTACTACTACTACTACTACTACTACTA